AAAGATTTGAAGAATGGAAGACGAAGAAAATGAAAATAAAATGAAAAAAAAAAAAAAAAAACAAAGTAAGAAAGAAAGAAAGGAGAACAAGAAAAAAATATATATATATAGGGTTCACTATTGAAGGCCAAAATCAGCGACAGAGTCGTCCTTCAATACCTTCATGTCCCCCACTAGTGAACCTGATCTCTCTCTCTCTCTCTTTCTCTCTCTCTCTCTCTCTCTCTCTCCACCTATTCAACCCACCTAGCACCACGAAGACTTCCACGGAGTCCACAATTCGACAGGACAACCGTTATGCAGCACGCACAGTAGAATTATCAAGCTGCCTTTTTTTTCGCGGACCCCCCTTTACGTGGCACTGCTTTCCTCTTCTTCGCCCCTGCTCTGCTGCCATCCCTTTGCGCGTGTCTGGCGTCCATCTGTTCCTGTCTCTCCTCAGCTCTCGCCTTCTCGTCCAACATACCTTGATATTTCTCAACCCAGCGAGGCTTCGACAACCTATCCACCAGTCTCATGTCCCTGACCTGGATCGTCACCCTTCTCGAATGGATGACCACCTTGTTGGTGTTCTCGAAATTGACGACCAAGTACGCCTCGACAGTCTCGATCAAAGCACGCACCGCCATCATCTGAAACCTCACGCCCATACCCGGAGCAATGTCCCGCTCCAAAACCTCGCGCACAAGACGCATGAAAGTCTAGCAAAGGTCAGTGGATAGTTGCAACTTTCTGATTTACGACAAAGTTGCCATCTCGGGGTATCGACGGCGTCTGGGAACCTGAGTTCGTACACCTGTGGTGTCTTCGGTCCCTAGCACCGCCTTCGGGCTCACCTTCTTTCTGCCTGCGGGCATCTGCCCACGTGGAGGTCCCGGCGTGCATTTCTTCTTCTTCCCCGGGCTCTGCGACATCGTGACATCGCTCGGCCCGCCCACGTCACCCTGTGCTGCAGAGCACCCCCCGACGCGACCAGGACCACACGGGCCCTCCACCTCAACAGACAAACGAGAAATTTCTGAGCGCTTCTTTGTCCTCTTGCCTGCCTGCGTTGAACCAAGCAAGCCATCCTCCGGCATGTACCGAATGTCTCGCAGGAGTCCATCTGAGTAGGTCCGATGGAAAGGCACACCAAGCGGGTCTCTGAATCTCATGGTGACGTCTCCACCATGCTCATATGTCATGGGACATACGACCAGGACCCAACCAAGAACGGTCGTGCAACCGTGCCTGCGGCGAATGCGAGCCATGTATCTCTTCTCACCGTCACCGTGCTCTTGGGCCGTGCAACTCCCCTCAATCATGGACCACATCCCCTGGTCAGCCATGGAGTCATAACCCGTGCACACCATCTGACGCTCCTCCTCCCTTATCCTCTCCCAACACCGCTTTGAGTGTTCAACCACTAGGACGTGGTCCTTTACATTCAAATTGAAAATTGAGACACGTGTCAGAACCACGAGGAACTGCCAATGCTCCACAATGCCTGCATGCATCCATCCCAATGGGAACCAATGCGCTAGTTGTAGTCTTGCTGCCATCGTCACCTTGCCATCAACCACTGCAGGATGCAAGCATCCTGGGACCCAATTGACACGATAACCATACTTTTCAGGGGCCATATGCTGCTGCAACTGTCCTTCAGGGATGACACGGGCCCCAATGTCCATGGCAGACAGAACGTCACTCCTCATTGTGACATGGTCCCATATCTGCGAGCATACTCCATCGTACGTGGCTTCCTGCTCTCTTGCATGCGTGTATGTGCTGCCATCCTCACCAGTGAAAACTTTCCCTTCAACCACCTCGAGTCCACAGGGTTCCGAAGCGGCGGGAAAAAGCAGCCAGCAGTGTGGGTATTACATGCCATTGCCTTCTTCTCGTCTTCAAAAACCTCACTGTCGAGGTGCCTGAAGGAGAAGTTGCCATTCGCATAATGCGTGCTCCAGACATTTCCCATGGCATCACGCATTATCATCCTCACACGACCACATGGAATCGGGATCACACATGGCACACAACCCCACCTAGGATCCCTCCTCGCATCGCTCTCGTGGCACGCCATACTCTCTGTTGCGTCGTTCCCGCCAATCACCCATGCCTTTCCGCAATCAAAACTGTCGTACAAAACATCATTCAGCCTTTACTCGCCCCGCGCCTCCAGAACACACCACACGTTCATTGCATATCGTGCTTTCACCTTTGTTGTTGCCCCATCGTTCAACCTTAATAGTCTGTCAAACATGATTGTCAGAGTCACGTTTCTCCATGTATTCTTTTTGGGGGCAGGAAATGGAACCCATGTCCCTTCGACTTTGAACGCAAAGCAGGGTGCTCCTCCAACAATACCCGGTTGAACATGACCCGACACCCAATTGATGTCATATGGGTACTCTTCTCCTGCTGATGTCTTCACCACATTTTCATCTTTCACAATACACCCTATCAGAGATTCCCTGCTTCCCAGACCTCCCTCCTCTCTCTCTTCCCCAGCCGTTTCCGTCTCACAAGTGCTCCTTCCTGCATCATTCTCTGTTTCATCACCATCACCTATCATCTCCGCAGTCTGTGCACGTATTGTCGCAAGCACCTCTGCACAGTCTGTGTTGTTCCCTCCTGCCGAATTCCCTTCCTTGCTGCCATCTGCAAAACCCTTCAAAATGTCCTCCGTCTCCATGACGCATGTCTCTCCTCCGTTAACAGTCGATGCTATCGCGGGTTCTATCTATTGCATGAGACACCACATACATTTATGAGAACACGTAGCCGCGACATGGCCCCCTCACCGGAGAGAGAGAGAGAGAGAGAGAGAGAGAGAGAGAGAGAGAGAGAGA